AAGATCATGATCTAAGGCTGTCCTCAGGCAAAAATGTGAGCCTATCTAAAAAATAACTAAAGCTAAAAGAGCATGGCTTAAAGGTTAGAACACTTGCCTGGCAAGTACAAGGTCCTGAGTTCAAACACCAGCATCACTAAAAATTAAAAAAAAAAAACACATAAAAGTAGTATATAACACTTGTTGAATATTTATTATCTACTTCTTTGTATTCACAGTTATAATTTCATTTAATTCTCAGAAGAAACTTACTGAGCTAGTATAATGATTCCTCCTTTATAGACGAGACAATGGAGACTCAGAAAATGTACCAAGAATTGAAACCCAGGTTCTTACTCTACCTTACTTTGTGTCTCAGTAAGTTTAGAAGTTAGGGAACGGAAAGAACAACAGCAACAACAAAATAAACCTAACGTAAGACCCAGAGAATTGCTGACAAATTTGATCCTCCTCATTCCTTCTTCATGTTTAATGTCAATTTTTATATCTTGGCTAAGAACCTCTATCATAAAGCTATTGGCTCAAGGTTATCATCCTCCTACCCCACCCCCATCATCAGATGATTTTTATTTATAGCCACGTTTAAACATGATGGGCCACACTCAGACTCGCTGTATACTGAATTTGTCATCTGAGCAAAAGTTCTTTCTCCAAGCAAATTTGCTTTGTTCATGCTCTGCTTTCTTCCTGGAATTTCTTCTTTCTCTAAAAAAAAAAAAAAAAAAATGGACACAGAAGACAATATGTTGGAAATGATCGAACAACTTGGGGGTGGGGGTGATAGGGAGAAGGAAAGTAGGAGAAAAATGAGGGAAGGGGTAACAAGTTTCACAAGAAATGCACTTATTCCAGCTGGGCGCCAATGGCTCACACCTGTAATCCTAGCTACTCAGGAGGCTGAGATCTGAGGATCATGGTTCAAAGCCAGTCAGGGCAGGAAAGTCCATGAGACTCTTATATCCAATAAACAACTAGAAAACCAGAAATGGGGCTGTGGCTCAAGTGCTAGAGCACTTGCCTTGAGTTGAAGATTGCAAGGACAGTGCCCAAGCCCAGAGTTCAAGCCCCACAACCGACAAAGGAAAAAGAAAAAAAAAGAAATGTATTTATTACCTTACTTATGTAACTGTAACCCCTCTATACATCACCTTGACAATTTAAAAAAATGGACAATTCTTTTTGGTTTACTTTAAAATTTTTGTTCCAAGTCTTCCTCAGCTGTTGAATTGAGTCAGTCAGATCAAATTAGCTAAGGCTACATTAATCAAGCTGAACTTTCAAATCCATTTTGAGTGGTACAGAGTAAGAGAAACATTCTAGATTTTTTTCTAAAGACAAAGCTACTCTGATTAACATAGTTCTGTATAATCATGTCTGCCTTGCTTTCACAGACTAAATGCTAATAAGAGCTCCCTAGAATTCATTCCTTAAGAATTTAAGCCATGGCATCTAATTATTTGGCAGTATGTTTTAATTACATATAATTATATCTTCCCTCCATTTTGTAATGGTGGCAAGCCAAGTAATCTGCATCAAGGGAAAATAACACCTATAGTAATGCCACCAACCAAGCATCTGCCATATTTGGAAAACCTTTCTCATAATCTTAACACGTAGTCAGTGTTCAATTCTTCTTAATCTGCCAAACAAGTATCGCCAATTTTTTGTTGTTATTGTTGCTAATCCTGGGCTTGAACTCTGGGCCTGGGCACTGCCCTGAACTTTTGTGCTCAAGGCTAGAACTCTATCATTTGAGCTACAGCTCTACTTCTGGCTTTTTGGGGATAGGTTTAGTGGAAATAAGAGTCTCATGGACTTCCCTTCAAACAGAGATCCTCAAATCTGACTCCTAAGTAGCTAGGATTACAGGTGTGAGCCACTGGCGCTCCACTCATGTTTCTTTTCTTCTTTTTTGGTGCCTACCCTGTGCTTGAACTCAGGGCCTGGACACTGTCCCTTAGCAACTTTTGCTCAAGTCTGGTACTCTCCCCCCTTGAGACACACCTCTACTTCCAGCTTTATGCTGGTTAATTGGCACTAGGACTCAAGGACTTTTCTACCTAGCCTGGCTTTGAGCAGATCTTAGCCTCCTGAGTAGTTTGGATTACAGGCATGAGTCATGGGCACCCAGCTATCAACACTATCTTCATGGGTAAGATAACTCAGGCAAAGGGAAATGACACTGACCTTGTTCCATATTTCAGTCCTTGGAAGGTCATGGCAAGTCCCTTGGGCAAGTCCCTTCTCTTCAGAGTGTCTGTTTCTTGCACAGGTCTAGTTCTCATAAATACAGGTAATATTGAAGACTAAACTAGCAATCTGGGCATGGCTTTATAATCATGAGCACCAAATGATAGTTTTTTTTTTAATTCTTTTTTTTTTTTTTACTGAAAGGGTGATGAGCTGGGGGTCATATACATAGGTAAGGCAATAAGTACATTTGTGGGTTTTTTTGTGGACCACTTTATTATTATTATTATTTTGTCGGTCGTGGGGCTTGAACTCCCTTAGCTCTTCAGCTCAAGGCGAGTGCTCTATTACTTGAGCCACAGCGCCACTTCCATCGGTTTTCTGGTGGTTTATTGGAGATGAGTTTCATGCACTTTCCTGCCCACGCTGGCTTTGAACCGTGATCCTCAGATCTCAGCCTCCTGAGTAGCTAGGATGACAGGCATGAGCCACTGACGCCCGGCATTATCATTTTTTTTTTATTATTATCGTTAAGTAGTTGTACAAAGAATTTCCCATTCTACAAAACAGTATATGAACACAAGGTGTCAGACAACACTGTCACCCATCCAAGTGACAGTTTTCCCTCCCATTCATTCCGCTTATTCTTCTACTATGTGGGGAATGTTAACTGCAAAACAGGACTTTCTCCAAATCTGGTAAAATATGTGGTAAATCTGAAATATAATAGATGTCAGTACTTTCTACTGGGTGCACTAATGGGAGGCATAAAGGGGAAGCAGAATTGCAGTTTCCAGCCCACGGAAGCCAAGCCAGTCTGCCTTGCCAAGCAGGTTGTCTGTGATGAAGGGTAGCTGGGAGACCTGTGGATCGTGGCAATATCGTCAGAGCTGTAGAAGAAAAGGAACTCTCCTAGGATGCATCGCGAAAGCTTGGGTGTGGCAGGATTGACAGACTGAGAGCAGCCTGAATAGAAAAGACAAGTTTATAGCCAGTACCAGTAGCTAACGCCTGTAATCTCTAGCTAGTCAAGAGGCTGAGCTCTGAGGATTAAAGTGCAGAGCCAGCTCAGGCAGAAAATTCCATGAGACTCTTATCTCCAACTACCAAAAAAAAAAAAAAAAACTAAAGCCGGAAGTGGAGCTGTGACTCAAGTGGTAGAGCACTAGCTGTGAGCAAAGGAACTCAAAGGACAGTGTCCAGGCCCTGAGTTAAAGACCCAAGACCAGAAGAAGAAGAAGAAAAGATTAAGTTCTGGGATTGTCTTTTATGGTCTTGTCCTTTATGGTTAAACCTCTTTTGGATATCTGGGAACATCATGATCTGATTCTTCCAAACAGGGAAACACAAGCTCCACCAGAACAAGAGCCTTCATCTGTTTGGATGACCCCCTCTACCCTCCAGGCCAGGGATCTGGCACAGAGTTGGCGCTCTGCGGAGCCAACTATTTCTGTAAAGGCAGGGGCAGTGGAATGTGAAAACGTTTCGCAAACTGTCCCGACCCGCAGGACTTCAACCAGGGCAGTGAACCTAAGCGAGAAGGAATGAAGGGACAAGAGACACGAAGAAGGACAGCAAGACAAGGATTCTGATCAAGCTGCCAATTTTTATTTTTCACACAAGGGTATTTATATGCTTGGACTTAGGGCGTGGTGCAAAGGTGGTTGTTAAGTAGATTTAGGGCGGGGTGAAAAGGTGGTCTTTAGTAGCTGCAGGGTGTTTACTTTAAGGCGTGGTGAAAAGGTGGGATTCTGTAAACTCAGGCTCAGGTTGTTCCAGTGATATAGTTAAGCCTATCAAGTTTGAGAGACTTAACTTTTGGCTCCCAACAGCAAACCCCAAGGAGATAGTATAACCAGACCAAGGTCGGATCCGCAGGGTATGGGTGGTTACCACCATAGCACCACCTGGACAAGGAGAGGACGGGTGTGTCCTGGTCCTACAGGTTTACTCCCTAGAAAGCAGGCTGGCCCGACCCGGGGATGGGAGCCTCCCATTCTGGGGGAAGGAGGTGGTGAGAAACTGGACTTGGAGGAAGAGTGAGCTAGGCCGTTTCCTCCCCCCCCCCATGAGAGGCAAGATCGGAGACTAGAAGAAAAGGCCAAACCTCAGCCTGGCCATCGTGACCCACAAGGTGTGTGCTGAGGGAGTCAGGATTCAGGTTCACAACCTCCACCCACGGGTGACCTAATTAAGGGGTGATAAGGGAGGTCAAAGATGCGGGATCCTGCGCAATTCCAGCAGCTGATGCACTACAGAACGGTAGTGTGTGCGGGGGGGGGGGGTCCTCAATCCTTATTTCCTCGCTAACACAGCCAGTCTACAGAGGAGGAGCCGAGGCCTGTCACCCAGGCTGCCGGTTTCCCAAGGGAACAGGTCGCAGGGCAGCCAGGAACACCCTCCCACACCCCCGCACACCTGCACTGCGCCGGCGCCGGCGTTCGAGGCGCGTCGAATTCCGGGATCAGCCCCCTTTTGCATTTTTCTAGCACTGCGCATGCTCCATCTCGGGTCTGCCCCGGCCCCCTTCCCCCCCCTCCTCCCTCGAAGGGACCACGCCCCAAAAGCGCGCAGGCTCCGGCGTCCCCTCCCCCGCCCCCTCGATCTCAGTCAGCCAGCCACGCTGCGCCTGCGCTGTGGCCCCCAACGTGCGTCTTTCCCGCCCCCTCCCTGCCCCTCGCGCCCGACCGCGGCCCGCTCTGCAGCTGCGCAGCTCGAGTCCCGGCCCTTCTTCCTCCCCCCCCCCCCACCCCCCCTCCTCGACTTCGCCGCTCCACACCGCCCCCTGACGCCGGCGTGTGACGTCACCACGCCGGGCGGCCGCCATTACAGAGAGCCAAGCTCCGGAGCTAGGGCGAACGGAGGAGGAGGCACAGCGGCCGGCGGCCGAGCATTGCGGAGAGAGAGCCGGCGGGGGTTAGCGTCAGCGCCCAGCAGTCGCCAGGGCCGCCCCACCCCCCAAGAAGGTACCCCGGGAACCGGCGGCGGCGTGTGCGTGTGGCCCGTGTGCGGGCGGCGGCGCGGGAGCAGCGCGGAGCGGCAGCCGGTTCGGGCGTGTGGCATCATGGACGAGAAGGTGTTCACCAAGGAGCTGGACCAGTGGATCGAACAGCTGAACGAGTGCAAGCAGCTGTCCGAGTCCCAGGTCAAGAGTCTCTGTGAGAAGGTGAGGCGCTGCCGGGGGCCGGCGGGAGGCGCCGGGGGCCGGGTCGGCCGCGGAGGGAGCCGTGAGGCGGGTGCAATATGGCGGAGCCGCCGGCCCGGGCCCGCCACCCCCCCCCCCCCCCCGGGAGGCTGACTGACCGGCGCCGGGCCCGGCCCGTCGCGGCTCCCGAGCGACCCGGCGCCCCCTGCCTTCCGCGCGCGGATTGGTAGTCGCCGCTACCGCCGCCTAAAATGGCGCCTTTCTCGCCGGACTCCGGGGCTTTCGGAGCCTCCCGGGATGGCGCCGGGCGGGGCGGATGAGGAGTCCGGAGCCTGTGTGTGTGTGTGTGTGTGTGTGTGGCGGGGAGGGAGTCCCAGGTTGGGGAGCGGGGTTTCTGAGAACCGGATCCGCGGATCCCCGTGTTCGGTCGCCCGGGAACGGGTGTTGGGGTCGGGGGGAGGACCCCGTGTCTCGAGGGTGGTAGGATAGGCAAAAAGGGGTTTGTGTTACTCAGGCCTACTCCTCGAGATACGAGGCTGCCCCGTGGGGTTCCCCCTCCCCAAAGGGCAGGTGGTTCATCCAGATTCCGGGTCCTGTGGTAAAAAGGTCACCCCAAGCTTTCTTGCCCACCTTTTAAGTGTCTGGTGGTTAAACTCACCAAAAGCTGTCTTCTTCGGAGCCCTGTGTAAGGGCTGCTTGTAAGCATTATGAAAAGATACGGTTAGCCTAATTATCGTTTTCTTTAAACGAAGGTCAATGGGGGGTAGTTATAAAGGAAGAGTAACTTTATTTTTCATAGTGGGAAGAAATGGAGGATTTGGTGAGTCATACTACAGAAGGAGCTTTTGGATTCGAAATCAAGTGTTTAATCTGTGATTTACAATGCTGACTCAAAGTGGGTAGTGTGAAACCCTTCTCTGAGCTTAACATACTTGGCATTTTGCCATTTATTATTTTTTTTTGTATGAGCCACACACTTGGAAGAGTGTCAAGCTTTGTATCCTCGCTCTTTGTTGGAAAAGTGACTTGATTGTGTTTTTGTGGCTGTTAGTAGTGTAATAATCGGTCTTTCTAAACTCGAGGCATTGTGCTGAATGTTTAATGTCTCACAGATAACCCAAAATGGGTTGTTCCAATCCATCTAATAAAGCTGAGCTCCATATTAACCTGAGCCTGTTTGTATTTCCCTAGATGTTGGGGAAGCACACTATTTAGCTGTCAGCTGTGTTGTAGTGTTAAAAGTTTTGTAACTTAATTTTCTAAATATCTAAAATGTTCATCTCCGTGAACTTAGCTTCCTTTTGTACAATTAACTAGCATTTTATTTTAGTGCAGAATTGGAAGAATATTCGTATTTCATATTAATGTTGAGTTTTTGCTCTTTTCACTAGTGGAAATGACTGCCTACTAGCCTGTGATTTAATGTGGTAATTAGGTTAAGAAGTTTACTATGTACTCAAGATAATGCTTTTGCAGAAACTGCCGGAGACAATTGGAATTTAAGGGGGATTTAGATTGTTTTATCCCAGGACTGCACAAAATCCTGTTACTAGTTTGAGGAAGTTGAAATTTAATAGTAGCAATGTATTGAATCTTCTATATTTTTTTTAAAATTTTTATTTTTCTGTCGGGTTTGGAGCCTGAACTCTGGGCTTGGGCGCGCTGTCCCTCAGCTCTTCAGTTCAACGCTAGCTCTCTACCACTTGAGCCACAGCACCACTTCTGGCTTTTTCTGCTTATGTGGTGCTGAGGAATTGAACCCAGGGCCTCATGCATGCAAGGCAGGCGCTCTACCACAGAACCATATTCCCAGCCCGAATTTCCTATTTATTGACCTTTAATTCTCTCTCACCCTCTCAAATGAGGTAGTTAAAGGTTTAGAAATAGCTCCTTAGGATCAGGGAGCGTGTGTGTCTGTGTCTGTAGCTCTTGTCCAGTTCCCCAGTACTGCTTAAAAAAAAAAAAAAGGGTGGGGAGAGATGAAGAAATTGGCCTTTAAAAATTACTTAATGTAGCTAGAATTGATGGCTCATGCCTGTAATCCTAGCTACTCAAAGAGGCTGAGATCCGAGGTTCGAAGTTTGAAGCCAACCAGGACAGGGAAGTATGTGAAATTCTTATCTCCAGTTTACCAGCAAAAAGCCAGAATTAGAGGTATGGCTCTAGTGATAAAGCCCTTGCCTTGAGCTTAGGGAGGACATTGCACAATTGCTGAGCTCAAGCCCCAGGAATGGGAAGGGCACATGCAAGTTACACTATGCTACCAGATCTCAATTTTTAGGTACTATAACTGACCATTTATACTGATATTTAGGCTTCAGTGGTTTATTTGAGCAGTTACCTAGATCGACTAGTTATTCGTAAATAAAAACATTGAAAAAAAGATATGATTGAAAGACTACATACTGAACAGCTAGTTAGACTTGGACATTAGTCCTTTCTGTTCCTTAGTGAATAATTGTGACTAACTTTGGGGCAGCCAGTTCACTTGACCATTTTGACTATAAACTAGAGTTTAAAAGAAAAAAAAATCAAAAAACTCTGAAAGCTAGGATTGGTGATGAAATCTCAGCACTAAGAAGGTTGAGGCAGAGGGATCCTTCATGAGTTCAAGGTCAACCTAGGGTAAATGATGAGACTCTGGTACTCAGGGGTAATTTCTGCAATTACAGTAGTTTATATTTAGATGCTGAATATGTCTTGATTGTCCACGGTTGCCTACTCTTACCAGAGTAATGAAAAGACAACAATGAATAATTATATGTGTTCTCATGGAGCTTTGAATCTAGTTTGAAAGACGAGCTTGGAAGCCGGGCGCTGGTGGCTCACGCCTGTAATCCTAGCTACTCAGGAGGCTGAGATCTGAGGATCGCGGTTCAAAGCCAGCCCGGGCAGGAGAGACCGTGAGACTCCTATCTCCAATAAACCACCAGAAAACCGGAAGTGGCGCTGTAGCTCAAGTGGTAGAGTGCTCGCCTTGAGCTGAAGAGCTGAGGGACAGCGCCCAGGCCCAGAGTTCAAGCCCCACGACCGACAAAAAAAAAAAAAGAAAGACGAGCTTGGTGTGATAATGAGTATGCGTGGAGATGGACTGTGGAAGATTCATTTTGGAGACTATAAGATAGCGTTAGATGCTAAGGTGGAGGAATGGTGGCTGAATCTTACTAGAACCAGGGTACATTGTTTTCAGTTTTTGTAAAACTAGGATGTAATGAAGTTCACCTTTAGGTCTCTGTTTCTCTCTGTCTAGATTTTAGTTCTGAGCCAGAAAATGAAATAATACAGAGAAGTTTTTGTGAAATGTAAAATAGTTTTTTTTTGTTTTGTTTTGGTAATTCGTGGGATGCGTGACTTTTATTATTTTGGTCAGTCATGGGGCTTGAACTCTGGGCCTGAGCACTGTCAGTGAGCTCTTCAGCTCAAGGAGAGGCTCTACCACTTGAGCCTCAGCACCACTTAGGTTTTCTGGTGGTTCATTGGAGATAAGAGTCTTACAAACTTTCCTGCCCTGGCTGGCTTTGAACTGTAATCCTCAGAGCTCAGCCTCCTAAGTAGCTAGGATTACAGACATGAGTCACCTGCGCCCAGTTCAGTGTTTTGTATAAGTTCGTCTAGTAAAACATAAGTTTGTGCTTTGGGGGTTTTTTTGGGACATGGTTTCTTTGTAACTCAGGCTAACTTACAACTCTTAATCCTCCTGCCTCAGCTTCCTAGGTGTTGGGATTACAGGTGTGCACCATCAATCATATCTGGCTTGAACAGTAATTTCAAAAATGCTGAGTTAGTTTTTTTTCATTAATCTAATAATCTTTAAAAACACTTGTTAAGGATAATTTAGTCATTTTTTTATAAGAAAGAATGATAATATAAAAGTCTTCTATATGCAGATACTGGTCTCAATGAAATGCAAGTTAAGGGGGCTGGGAAGGTGGCTCAGTGTAGAGCACTTGCCTTGCATCCATGAGGTCCTGGGTTCGATTCCTCAGCACCCCATAAGCAAAAAGAAAAGCCAGAAGTGGCGCTGTGGCTCAAGTGGTAGAGCGCTAGCCTTGAGCTGAAGAGCTGAGGAACAGCGCCCAGGCCCAGAGTTCAGGCCCCACGACCGGACCCCCCCAAAAAAAATAAAAATAAAAAAAGAAAGAAATGCAAGTTAAATAGTAAAAGATAGGAATATGGTATAGGAATATATCAGAAGAGGTCATAGTGATCAAAACTTCCTGAGAATGCCGAGTGCCTGTGGCTTACATCTGTAATCCTAGCTACTCAGGAGGCTGAGATCTGAGGATCATGGTTCAAAGCCAGCCTGGGCAGGAAAGTCTGTGAGATACTCTTATCTCCAATTATCCACCAAAAAGCCAGAAACAGAGCTGTTGCTCAAGTGGTAGAGCACTCACCTTGAGCTGAAGAGCTGAGGGACAGCCCCCAGGCCCCAGAGTTCAAGTCCCACAACCAACAAAACAAAAAGGAAAACAACTTCCTGAGATCATTATTGTATTTCACTGGCAATTAAGTGTTAGATGTTCAAAATGGAGAAAATCCAAGCATATACTCATATAAAAAGATGTATACACAGTTTTTATGTTACTGACCAGTTAAAAAAAGATTTATTAAGGGATATGATTAAAGTTTGCATCAAATCCAAGTTTGGAGAGTCATAATGCCTTGCTTAAATTTTTTTAGTTAACAGTAACATACTACATCTATATAATTGGCCAGGTATATTTGTATCTGCAAATTGGAAGAAGTAAATACCATCAAGTGGCTTTTGCCTTAACTACAGAAAACATCTGTTAAATGACTTAAGCAGTGACTTGTTTAGTTTTTGGCTTTGTGCTTTAAGGTCTTAGCAAACATGACAATGTTGTTTCTTTTTTTTTTTCTTTCCAAAAGAGTTCTTTACCTAACTAGGCATGCAGTTTTCCAATGCTCTACAATCACTATAAATAAAATGTAGTCAATAAGGCTTCATTTAGTTTTAGCATTTGTTACATGCATCTAAAAAAAGCAGAGTGCTTCTTTCT